AATGTATTTGTTGGGGACTATTCTCAGCTGCAAATTTGGTGCAGTAGCGAGTATTTACAGCAACATGACAAGGCATGTGGAATCGAATACAGTTTTCGTGCTCATTGTGGTGGAGTAGCACAACACCCAGTGCAGCAGTGTGGCTCATTTATGGGGGTTTTTATGCATTTTTGACAACAATGGAGATGAATAACATATGAGGCTTTGGCTTCACAGGCAATACTTAGCTACAGAGTTGCAATTACACCGCTAGATGCCACTAAACCCTACACACTGGTCCTTTAATTGTTACGTTTGCTGGGCTTCTTCCTGTTACTTTTATGAATTGTATTTTATTAGTGTGTTTTGATGAATCCATCAACTGTCTTTTGTCTTTTTCTCTCTCACTCACTGTCACAATATAATACTGTTCATATTTTAAATGCGTACATTGTGTACACTTTTGTGGTGTCTCTGCCCTAAACAGATGCTGTGAAATGGTTTCATCATATGTTGCACTCATGAGAAAATGTAGTAGACTATAAGTATACATGAAACTCACAAAGTATACTAAGTATACTACGTTTACTTAAGAGTGGCATCTATAGAGTCTACATTAACAGGAACTGAGGAAGAGGACTTGAAAATGGTCTAAATTGTGTGTTTGTCTGTGAGAATATGTCTTGGATGTGGTTGGAAATGCCTGGAATTTAAAGTATAGCCAAATACCCTGAATGCATTGTTATGCTTTCAACCTGCGGCCGGGGGCCTCAATTATTCAGGGTCTTTCTATCTGTCCATCAGCAGATACCTGGACTTTGAGCTGAGCAACACAGGGGCTCTGTTATGTGTAGAACTTGTTGTAAAACAGGAAGATCTGCATGCAATCATAATCCTGAGACTTCCAGATCTGTTTCTCGGTTTGAAAAATGTATCCAGGATTCCATTCATTATTTATTATACACTGACAGATGGTGTATACATTTCAATGCCTTTCCACTGTACCTTGGAGACAGCCCGTCCTTTCTTTCCACAAAATATTTTGATTTGATCCGATTCTTGCTGCTGGTTGTATTTGTTGCAGTGTAGCCAGTCTGTAAAATCACAATATGTTTATGGTAATATCTCTAGTTATCTGGTCATGCTTAATATCTTTGAAAACGGTCCAGTGTTTAAGACTGACGGGGCAGAATATAGATGAAATGGAATATAACACTCATAGGTATGTTTTCATTAGTGTATAATAACTTGAAAATAAAAATCTTTGTGTTTTTGTTACCTTAGAATATGCCGTGGATGTGATGTGCAGAAAAACTAGCGTTATCAGTTAGAGATTAAATTGCTCACAGTAAATAATGTAGCAGTGTACTGTACGATGAAACAATTCAGCTTCAATTCAGTTACATTTTAAAGCTGAGAATAAGTTACATCTGATTATTGGAAATAGAACCTTTTGTCAGGCAACTACTACTTTTACTAAAATACTTTCATGTGATCCACCGATGGTTGGTAATGGCTGTGAATCGTGAGATGCAATATTGTCCAATATAGACATGATTTCTAGGTTATTGGGCTGCTGTAACAGGTACATCTGGGCTTCACCACTCTACTCTGCATGAGCAACACACTGCGTGCATCAGTCAGGTTCCAGCTGCAGTCACAGCAGGTACCAGGGTAGTTTCAAGTCAACACACTTGAATGACTCTTACAGGAGTGCATTGCAAACAACTGGAACATTGAGTGGCAAAGTGCTGATCGCCTTTGCCTCCCACCTTTAAAAAAAAAAACCCAACATTTTATTAAGGGATGGGTATGGCTGACCACATTTCGCTCACTGATGCCCACTTGAGCAGAAGAAATTGCTGACGCATACTGTACAAAGTTACAAGAATGTGACAGGCCCTAATAGGAGTTGGTGGTAAGAGAGCAGTGACTCTAAAGAGCAGTTCAATGGGTTTCAGAATCAGAATAAGAAATACTTCCTCCCAAGGGGAAATTTGTTTTGCTACAGTTGCTCAAGGTGTTCACAAGACATTAAAGAAACAGAAATGATAACATTAAAATTATATATATATATATATATATATACACACACACATACATACATACACACACACACATACTTAAAAAAAGGAGTCTGAAGTATGTACATTATAATACAGTATATAGAAGATAGAAATATATGCATGCTATAGTATATGACAGATGTTCATTGAGTAATGAATAAATAGTAATAATAGCTGAATCCTTTACAAACTGCAGTATTGGTGAGAGATTAAAGGCTGCTAGTCTCAGCACCCTTGCTGATACATGCAACCACAGCAGAGTCATCAGAAAACTTCTGATGACAGGACTCTGTGTGGTAGCTGAAGTCTGTGGTATAAAGGGTGAAGAGGAAGAGAGAAAGTACAGTTCCCTGTGGGGCCCCGGTGTTGCTGACTACTCTGTCCAACACACAGTGTTGTAGATGCACAGACTGTGATCTGCCAGTCAGGTATTGTCACAATCCAGGACACAGAGGTAGCATCCACCTCAATCGCTGTCAGCTTCTCCCCCAGCAGAGCTGGCCAGATGGTGTTGAAAGCACTGGAGAGTCAAAAAATATCACCCAGGAAAATGATGGTGTCCTCAACTCCCAGACAGGGCTGGTAGGCGAACTGGAGAGGGTCCAGACGAGATTTGACCATGGGTCGCAGCTGTTCTAGAACAAGTCTATACAGGGTCTCCACCAATGCTCGAACCCGAAGTATTTCAAGATGGGCTGAGCACACATGCTCTGAAATGTATTTACTATTGATCACAATTTTATGTTCAGCCAGTCCCATATCATCAGTGGCTGACCAAGACAAAGAATCACTAATAGCATTTTTCTATGACAGTGTTATCTAGGAGTGGTGCACTGGTTGTGGTAGTCTCATTCTCAGTTTTTGGCTATTTTTTGTGTGCTAAAATGTCCATTCTAGACTAGGGAGCAAATGCCTCAGGGATCTTTGCTGGGATTCATCTATGTGGACAACAGAATAGGAAGCAAGCAGGTCAAGGGCCTCTCTGATGTGAAAGATATTCATCTACCATCAACTTATTGCACATGCAGGGGTAAGCAGCCAGATAGTGGACTCCTGGTGGCATGTTCTACTTTGTGCAGACATAGCAAGCAAAGTAAAGATTGTCTAAAGCTATGACACCTATAGAGCAGGAGAGGTATCATGCTATGCAGAAGTTGTATGGTTGAAAGAAAGTCAACATAAACTTAGTCTAGTAGAACATGAATATAAAAAGGTAACTTTTTCTGGGCCCATGTACACATACAACATTGCTGGATTCTTCTTCCACACAGAATATTAGTCTAGACTGTAGAGTGGCACAAACGGAGCAGCCTTTGTCACACTACTGAAAGTAAAACACAATGCTGGGGCAGTGGTGGCTTAAAGGTCAGAACAGCTGACTTGTGATTAGAGGGTCGCCGGTTTAATGCTGGGACCACCAAGATAAAGCTGAGTGGTGGAAAAAGCAGCACCAGCCCCACCCTTCTTACCACATTGAGCAAGGCCCTTAACCTACAAATTGCTCCAATGGAGGGGCTGGTGAGGCAGACTGTGGTTGTACTAAGCAACTTCCAGGTGTAAAGGTAAAACAACACTTGCTGGTAGAAAAAAAAACTGGCTAACTAGGGCTTTCCAAAGTCTTGTTTTAGAACTTTCTGACAAGGTTTTCTCCATTGAGTTTGATAAGACAGAGGTCTAGGCAGACTGTTGGGCAGGCAACTTCCACAAAGCTTTGTCGTTCCTTGTCACTCTTTTCTTCTTTTGCCGTAGGCACTCTTTGCATTTTAATAAAGTAGTACAACTTTTGTGAGTGGTGTTTTTTCAATGGTTTCCCCATCTGCCGCTTAGCAGCTTTGACTTGGTCCACTTCGTGTTCTGATTGACACACCTTGTTAGTGCCATATGAACTGTTGCCTTGCAAAATACACATGAAAATTGCTACACATTTCAAATAACCATGATGAACATGCTAAATTATTAACAGCAAGTAAACATTGTATTGCCTATAAAACGCATCTTTTACTCCAAACTCTTAAATTCAGAACTTGCTTTGCAAAAGACCCATTCGACACATACAACTGCACTATGAAAATGATTAAGTACATACAGGAAACCTTGGGTGGTTAGCTCACCCAAGAGAAAATACCCAATTGAGTGAAACTGGCTGTCTCAGATCCTCTGTCTGCTTTTCTCTCACCCTCAACTTGCCAGTTTTTATAAGCACATATTAGCTAAATCCCTTATCCAACTGAAAATGCAGTAATAGTTCACGCTTGTGATTGAGAATGTAATTAGATGAATATTTAATATACTTTTGAGCTTTACAAATAATGTGTCCCTTGGGGTATTGTTCCACATGAAAAGGTAAGCAACACAATAACCCCAATGCAATGACAAAGTAGTATTGTGGGTACAAAGGACGGCAGGGAGAGAGAAGAGCGGTCTGATTAGTCATAATTATTTGTAATATATATATATTTTATTTGTAGTATTTGTGCCTAAAGGTTAAATTATCCTCCCATTGGTAGAGGCAGCAATTTGAATCCAATGTATGTTTGGCCCAATGACAGTATATATAATGGACAGAGCTTCCCCATCTATGAAGTTAAACTGACGCGTGGTGTCTTAATTTAGTTTATTTAGTAACATAGTCTTGCAATTTATGCAAAGGCCAGTAAAAGGCGGATCCATTTCATCCATCTCACTTAATTTATTAGCTTAGTAAATGGTTTCTTAATGAGTTTATGGTCCAAATCACTAGTTTCAATGACAATTTTGTTAATTATTGTCAAATATGAATCAAGATTCTGTTACTGCTGTTATACAAGAAAGTGTGTGACCAGAAGTGCTACCCTTGTTCCCTGTTACACCAGTACTCTTCTTAGCAAGTCTCAATTTTATCCCCTGTGATCTTTTGTCTAATTTTGCAGTGTAGTCCATTTCTGATCACGTGTTTGTGTTGTATGCTTGCCCCAGTTTTACAGATGTTTCCAAGCCCTTCTGCGTTGTGAGGCTCCCCGACGAGGCTCCAGCATAAAAAGCTCCTCCAAGGTCGCCACCAAGGCCATAAGGGGTGTAGCAGTTACCGGTCCCCGCCGAACCAATGACTTCCTATTTATGGTAGCTTACCTGGGTCAACCGGCCACCACGATGCCCCGACTGGGACCCTCCTTTGAAGCCACCAATGATGTTACCAAAGCAGCCTCTTCAGACAACAACCAACCTGTCGCAGTGTCACTAGTGGCTCACTTTGATGGCTGATGATTGGCTATAACCACGAAAAGTCCCAAAGTCCCCAACCAGGAACTCATTAATAATGAAAGAGGTGGTTTTACTGAGGCTTGGAGAGCAGCAGCCTGCAGTCCACGTGGATTTAACACGGCTGTTGCATCAGCCTGCCCCAGCTAGCAGAGATGGTGGACCAATAACAAAGGCAAATCTTGGACTGCCTCTGGACAATATGAGTAGAAATCAGAGGTGGTAAACCTGCAGAAGCTGGGAGTCTGTGTTTCTCTGCGAAGAAAGTATATGTCCGTCTTGATAGGCATGAGGCATTTGAAGACTGGTATGGTAAGAAAAGAGGAACTGTAGGGATCTTTTATTTTGTGCAATATCTAATGTTTGGTATTCACTCATAGAATGCCATAACAGTTATTCATTCAGAGTGCAGGAAGAGGGTTAAGATGCATTTTTGTATTGCTTCCTTACTGACTGTTATAAAGTGAGGAAGAAGAACAGGCATTTATTATGCCAGCATGGTATCATTCTCTTTAGCTTTTATTCCCTGCCAGAAATTTTCATGTAATTCATCACTCGTCACTTTGAAATGCATAAGTGGTTTATTAATGAAGTTGTTTAATAAATGGTTTAATAAGTAATTTATTAGACTTGTAGCACTGCTAGCATGCTAGCATCATTAAGGTTTTTTTCTGGAGTAGTGATTTTAAGGTCAAGGAAATAGGTGCATGTTGGAGAATTATTAGATAGTTCCTTCAATAACGACGTGCATGTACTGTGCTGCAGTGTAATATGCAAATGAGGTTGGAGAAACATAGTATCTGGTAATGTTAAGGGGATAGCAGAGACACAGATACTTGACATTGTCAAAATCCTGAAAATGAATGCCTCTCTGGGCTGATTTTATCATGTTTTCTAACTTGGCATTTCCACATGTACTTACAGCTGTGAAACCTGTTGCTTTTTTGTTTATTGCACCCAAAGTGCAGGGTACTATGTGTTCAAAAGGGATTTGAAGGCACAGGCCATTTAATGTAAAAGAGCTCTTCAAATATGCTAAACAACTCATAGTCAGAAGTGCATGTGGACAGGCATCAGCCTCTAATCATAGTTTCCACAATATTCAAACTAATTTCGTCCACTAAGGTCAGTCTACTATAATATAATAATAATATAATAATATAATAATCTATAATTGGCATCAGAGAAAGTCCTAACAGCAGACATTACTCTTTCCAAGTGTTTTCCAGAGGGCAAAAGGACTTTACTATACAATACATATCTTTTAGATGGAATAAAATTTGTTCTGTACAAATTGTTTGCCACGTGCTTGTCCGCATCTTGTTCAGTTTTTTGATAACATATTTGACACTTTCAGTCTTGCAATACAAAGATAACTGCAGTTTCCGAAAGCAGTACATCAATGCTGTGTTGTCAGTAAATGTCTAAGCTTTCAGTGGTGTGGTACTTTTCATTACTGCATACAATTACAGTATGTGTGCAGTTTTGTAATTCACTTTTAGCACACTAACTGTTTCCTATGTGCTGTCAAGATCTTGTATACATTAATGTACATAAGTTGATACCAAAGCTACAGAAACTTAGATATTTTTTGAAGGGTGCTTTTCAATAAAGTTTCTTATTCAAAATCAATAGAGTGGATTTTTCCCCCCTGTTTTGTACCTGTTAAAAAGTGGGGTGGTCGAAATTAAGGCTTTAAGTGATATGCAGCATAAAGATAATGAATGGTAGAGATATGTAATGTGAAAAGTGACAGCATAGTCATATGTAATTGACTATTTGCCAAGCTATTATTGGTCAATGACTGGTTTGAAGAGAGGTTTAGCAACTGTGCACAGCGTTATAGTAACAGCGATGCTCCATATGTAAAGAGTTTCAGTCTGCCCAAAACCAATAGACCAACAAGGAAAAGTTGTTGTTGTCGTCTGCTCCAACTAGTTCCACAATGCACTACAACAACAATGATGTTATTTCTTTACTCCTGTGTCTCCTACATGGACCATCTATTGGTTAGGATACTGTCTTTTTGTCCTGGACATGCAGCTTCAGTCTTTTTGCATATATGTAGCCATCAAGTACATACTGAAGTACCCTTTTCAGGTTTTAAAACAAGTCAGTTAAAACTTAAAGAGGTCCAAATAAAAAGGGGGCCTAAAAAAATTCACAAAGCTAATGTTATCCAATCCAATCCAACTTTATTTGTTAAGCACTTTAAAACAACCAAAGATGACCAAAGTGCTGTACAGGAGAATAAATAAGACATCATAAATAAAAGACATAACAGCTCAATTAGCTTAATTACTACAGATGATAAAGTCTGCTAATGACAGTATTGTTATTATTATTATAATAAATTCTAAATTACTTTCATTAGCCAAGCCCAGTCCACAAGAAGTTACTCTGTTTCCACAAAATATTCCGTGTAGGTGGCCCCCCTGTTGCCTGTGAATGGAAGCAGACATTTTGGAGCAAGAATATGACACACCTAAGGACATACTGCGGTGTGTGCCACCAGTTTCCTCAACAACTCTACTTGTCTTTACATAAGTTTACACTTGGGCCTTATCCCTAAGAATTTTGAGTAGTAAATCTGCCACCATTATAATTGTAAACTACAAGAAATGACATTTAAGGAGAGCAGGTCTTAAAAGGACCACTGTGTAGGATTTAGTGGCATCTAGCGGTGTAGTTGCAGATTGCAACTCCCACTCTCATCGCAAATCAGAAACTACGTTGGCCGCAAAATGCACAAAAAACGCAAATGGCCTTATGTTTGTCCATTCTGGAAAACATACTGTAGGAACATGGCGGTTCAACATGGTGGCCTACAAGGAAAGCAACCTGCTCCCTCTACAGATAAAAGCGGCTCAGTCTAAGGTAGTGAAAATAAAGCGATTCTAATTTTATATATATATATATATATATATATATATATATATATATATATATATACATGCAAAATGATCTATAAACTGACATTACATAAAGGGTACCTGGGGTGAACCTAGCAAGCTGCTAATGAAGTTACTACCTATAATGTAATCAACATTGACTTTCTTAGGAGAATATTAAATTAAAGGGTGCGTCCAACTTGGTCACAAGATTTTTTTTTTCCCACTCACTGTCTTCAGTCAAGCTGAAACTCACGTTTTAAATTCACACACAGTATCAAAAGGAAGAGTCCTATTTCTATCTAATTGCTGAAATTATGCAATAAAATTGTGCCAAAAGTCAAGAAGACTTTTTTATCTTCAAATTTCTTTATTAAAAAACACTGGTTATAAAAACACAATTTTTATCTGGATACAACCGGGGTAAGAGAAGGTTACACATTAACACAAAGGTGAGGGTTGTAAATGGGGAATTGTTTGAATATGTAATAATATAATGTTCATTACAGTGAGTTAATTAAGTGTTACTAAAACGGTTATGTATGACTGAGGTTTTGGCTGCCGGTTGTGGACACAAATCCATTTATAAATGAATTAACTTATTACAAACCATGTTGTAACATAATGGTTGTATTATATTACTAATATTATGAGCAGTAGATATTACATTATGGACTATGAGAGCAGTTGCCTTCATGTAACCTTTGTGTTATAAGTGGATAACAACCAAAATATTTTCAGGAACTGCACAAACTAACCTATATCTTATCCCCTGGAGACTGAACTTAAATTGGTAGTGGGACTTCAGGTTGAACAAATCTGTTCTCAGCACTGATTTTAAGTCTCTTTCAGGCTTCAGTGCGCCTTTAGGGATGTTCTGCTAATTGTTTTTGTGTAATGCTTGGTCCTTGGTCTCCACTGTTTACTATAAGGCCCCTGGTGAGCGGAGATAAGAGAAGCGCCCCAATAATCAACATGGCTGTGAGACGGCTTTGTGGTGATGGACTCCATTTGCCAGAGGCTCCGGGCACAATGTCTCATTAACCAGTTGAATAGCCAGAAGACAGGGCTGAGGCTAGGATGAGTAGAATCCAAATGACCTTTTGTTACCAATCCTTTCAGCTTTTGTCAGAAATAAGAGCCAGTCAGCTGTCTTGATAAACAGTTGCCCACTAAGGGCCTGCTCAAAATTGATTTCTCACTTTCAGCACCTCTCTCTGTCTTTCTCTCTCTCTGACTTTTAACCGTGGATAATGTCAAGAGCTTCTTTCTTCAGTGAGCTCAGTGAAAACACAGGGAATGGGATGAAACATTGAGCTCACTGTTTCTGTAGCGTGCCAATCTAACAGGCACTTCATAAACATGTTAGACATCCCAATGTCCATTCATTTGTAGACTTGAAATCTTCTAATCATCTAATTTTCTTTTGCTTCAAACAGGTCACAAGAAAAAAAGGTTAACTCTACATACCATGTGTACACAGGAAATACTTTTTATTCTGCTACCATTCTCACAATGGAGTCTGTTACTGCATTACTAACAGCACAACCACCTTATTAGGAAGAGCTAGAACATGTTGTTGGCTCTTGTTCATTTGTGGTGACAATAGCTTGTTGTGCAGTGGCCTTAAGTGTGGCTGAAAATAGAGCAATTGCCCAACCTTAATAGCGACTCCTCTTTCACAGCTGCAGCTTACTGTTGCTACTAGTTTAATTTGACAGAATTCACATTTAACATCTACAACTTCAATCTTTTGTCCAACATCGGGGTCCACTCCTGAGAAACTCGGGGATAAACATCAACGGATTGCAGATTAAGAACAAGGCAACCACAATTTGTCAACGTTGACTGTTCACATCTGTAAGAGGTGAGCTACTCCTGGTATGAGAAAGATGATGATAGGTGCAAAAACACTTTACCATACCATCATCACAATACTGTTGATGTCCATAAACAAACTGGACAAACAGTTCTCTCATACTAATAGTCATGGATTCTTACAGCACAGGTTCGTCTTCCACTTCTGCATATAAGCCAGACAAAAGTGACTGTTACATCTGGCAGGCTGCCTTGTGACCAGTGGGGACAGCCAGCAATGTGATGATAAAACACACTGTAAATGAGTGCAGACAGCACAGGGGATTCCACAGTTAATTGATTAATAAAGTTCACTTGTTTTCTGAATAAGATTTAAAGAAAATTTGTAGATTCAACTTTCCGTTTGCAATTGATGTTTATGATTACATCATGAGGAATTATGAATGTCCTTGGTAAATTTCGTGTCAGTCTGCCATGATTTTGATAGAGTTTGATATTCCCTGTGAACAAGTGAAAATCCTGACGTTATGCTAGTCCAGAGAAAAGGTCAGGGTGATGCCAAAATCATTCAGATTAAGTCATTTATCAAACAGAATTGCCAATTATTCTCTGGTTTCAGCCTCTTAAATGTGAGTACACTCTGCTTTTCTCTGTATCATTGTACATTGAATATCCTTGGGTCTGACAAAACAAGCAATTTGAATTGGTCACCTTGGTTTTTGTTTGTTTGTTCACTATTCATCATTTCTTAATTTAAGCATTTAATTAATCAAAAACAGAATACATAAAGCTAGGGTCCACAACAAGAGTAATTCATTTTAAAATGCTTCATTATTCTTAACAAAAATGAAAGTAAGATATATGAAGTGTAACATCACATCTACTCCTACATTCATTCATGACGATGCATTTCCAGATGACAGCTAGTGTCCTTCCCGCATCGGTGTTTAGTCCTTCCTTTCATAGTACCTTGTCTATCAGGTTAAAATAAATATACTGCTATCATCTTACATTATAAACCTAAAGCATCACATCTTTCAAACATCATTTTTTATCTTCATATACAAGCAACATTTGCAGTTCTCTCCCTATAAACAAAAACTATACAGGGCACTGTATACATATTCCTGCTGTTCCTGCTGCCTTCAACTTGTTTATGCTACTGAGTGTATCGTCCTTGGGATACCAACTTTGAATTCTGAGAGCATATGCTGAAGCCATGCTGCTATTGGACACAGGATAGGTCGAGTGTTCAACAAGCCACTGAGTGAGGTTGAGAGGTGACGGCAAAAAATATATATATATACTGTTTCTATAAAAAAATAAAATAAAAAATCACCTCATACCTCCTATTCCAAAGCTCCTCTCCAGCTAAGTGCCACTCTCAACCTCCCAATTCTTTCTAAAAAGGTTCCCACATTAATTCTTGTCCCTAGCCCTTGGCCAGTTCATTTTAAGTCTGCTGATATTTTTGTTTTGGACCCCGACTCCTCTGCTCTTTTAATTGCTAATGTCCATTCATTTAGTGACAGGCTTTTGGTCAACTGATTTTATATGTAGCGCTCATCCATGAAGGTTCCCTGCAGTCATTCTATCAAGCGCCTCATCTTTGATTGATTTTTAAGCAATTCAACATTCTCAGATGAAAAAATAATTGTTCTACTCGTAGTTCCTACTAACTACTATCACTGCTCATATGGTTAAAAGCACCAATGCATTCTGATATGACATTCAGTGTTGATGGGTAAAATGTACTATCTGATGTCCTGCTGGACCCTGACTGCTTCAGTCTGCTTGGTGACACTTTGTGACCTGGCCTTGTCAATGTTAATTACTGTATCCAACTTTGAAGCTCTGGTGACAGTTTGGTCCAAGTGAGATTCATTAATACAATAAAATATTAACTGAGAGGGAATTTCTCTG